AGAATCCCACCCGGACTGTTGAAGGCCAGCTTAGGAGAATCTCAAGCCTCGCGACCCGAGCGAGACTCCTAAATAGGCAAGCAGCCTCTCGTGCCCCTCATTTTGCCTTTTTCGTGTTTGTCTTTTCTCTAAGGATAAATATTGTTGTTTCTGAGTTTTAGGGTTTAATTTTTGTTGAGCGTTGATTTCAGATTCCTTCGTGAAGTTGTTCTTCCTGTTTTAGAGTTGTATCCGAGGAGGTGGTGATGCACTGGTTATATCCTACTCTGAAATAGTGTTATATGATTTCTCTTTCACCTTCCCTAATCCTTCTCCCCTCTTCTCAACCACCGACCTCCCCTTCATTCCCACACCCAACCACCCACCATATCTACAGCCTTATCTTGTTGTCCAACCATCCTCCCTCCTACCCAGCACTCCCAACCGACTGTTCCTCACCCCACTTTTGTTGCCCTTGCTATCTGGCACTTTCCAACAACCAATATGTCTGTCTTCAGTCACCTACGACTCTGCATACTTCAAGTCCCTTTCCGCACCTTCTCCTCGCTGCCACCACCCCTGCGAACCATCCTGATCCACCTTGCCAGCCTCCACCGCCCTTGGAACACACTTTAGAGGTGTATGCTTGTGTCGTTTATGTTTGTAGTTGCTATTTTATGTTGTGTTGTAACCCTCTCTCTACATTAATAAAAGTTTGCTTTGTGTTATTCTGCTATTTTTCCTATTAGTTTTTGTATCAAACAGTGAGTAGAAAAGGAAGAAGAAAAATTAAACAAAGTCAACATATAAGAGGAGAGAAAAGACGAGAGAATAATTAACAAATGAGGTATATCGGGGAGCTTTGGTGACAGCACAATAGTGAAGGCAGCAAAGCAGCAGCTGCACAACAGCAATGGTGTCACAAAAGTGGACTTCGCATAGTCAAGTTTGTCCTCTACAAACCTTGTTTAAATTTTAAAAAAAAAAAAAAAAAAAAAAAAAAAAAAAAAAAAAAGCTGCATTATCTAATCATTGGAATAAAAATGTGTGCCTCATTGTATGTGCCTCAAAGCATGCCTCAAACAACTATGACGTAAGCCACTTTCATAACATGTGGGACGCAAGTCTCAAGGTGTTTTCTTTAGACTTTACTCTAACACAAATCTTAAATTGTGCATTTAAGGATTGGTGAGCATCCTCCGAATAGTTTCGCTTGCTTGGCATCAAAAGTATTCAGGCTCTTATTAAATTTCCTTATTTATTTCCCAACTTACGAATATTTTTAATTCACTTCTTATCTTTTATAACAATTCCTTTGTCATTTATTTGAATGTTAATTGCAAAAATTTTTGCTTTCTTTTTCTTACTTATACACTTCAGATGATAATCATAATCCATTGCTAGAATACGAACATAAATTTTCATTTATCTCTTCACAACTTTCTGTTCTCCATTAACATGATTTTGTGCATGCATTTGTCATTAAGGTTCTATTTGTGGTGGCTTCTTCATTGTTTTACTTTTCAGACAACTATCACACTTTTGTGTGGCTGCTGCTTTACAAAATTTTTTGTGAAAAGGAGCTGCTTTTTACAGCCAGGTCTAGTATAGTGTTGTAGTTATAAGTTGTCCAGTTATTACTGAAAAAATGAAAATATATATAACACACAGCATTTGTCTTACTGAAAAAATGAAAATATATATAACACACAGCAGTTGTCAGAAAAAAAAAAAACTATTTGGGAAAGTTGCAAGTGATATAAATAGACCCTAACCTATACTTTTGATTAATAAAGGAAGTGTGTGTGTGTAAAGTTGTTGCACTTCCTTTATCCAAACAATTCTGATCCTGCAAATTACTTATGGATTATTATATATTCTTATTTCATTCATGCATTTTGGTTTGATTACTCCTTCAATGTCACCGTATGTGATAGCTGCATTTTGCATTTGTAATTTTGTAGAGTTGCATGCCCTTTGCATCCTTGTTCATTTTATTCTTAGTAGTCTTGATTATTGAATTACCTGATGCAGAATTGATCCAAATGCCAACTTGTTGGAACCTATTGTTTTGCCTGAAAACAGCGAATTTTCCGTCAATGTCAATATCCTAGGATTTACATTTTTTTTGTCTTTTTCCAAAAACAAATTAAAATATTTTTTAAAACACTCAAAACAGCTTTTGAGCGTTTTTAAAAATAATCATGTCTTAATAAAATATGCTAAAAATATTTGTTTAAAATCAAAAACAAAAACTAAATAAAATAAAAATAAAAAATAAAAGTGGCCCAAAACAGCAACTAAACTTATATAAATTAATTTGCAAGGTTATACAATGGAGTATACCATGTCTTTTTCTTTTGATTATGACTACCCAAATCAATCTCAAACTTAAAAGAGAACTACCTTTTCTAATTTGCTTAAACAAATCATGTTTAATTGCTGGAAGCTTCAATAGCGTTTGGGAACCCACGAATCAGTGTTTTTGCTAAATCGTTTGCAATAATATCTGCACCATATTGAAAAGACTGCTACAAGTTTCCTTTCTTATTCATGCTTCTAGTATAGTAGTATATTAAAATCTCGTTGAAATTCTTTACTGCATATGCGAACTTCCATGAAATTTTGATGATATTTTTAAATTAAAATTTAATGAATACATATCACATGCTCCATGCACGCACCCGTCATATTTCTATTAATTTTTCAATACTAGAAATACAGCATAACATTGTTGATGTCTAATCTCCATTACCGAAAATAATAGAGTACAATTTTAAATAGTTAAAATTCTTTTGTAAATGAAAATGAATTTATCTACATGCTTTTACAAATAAATTCAGTAGTTTTATTCCCAGTAAAGTGAGTAAAATTTAAAATAATAATATCTTTATTAGCATCAAATTTACATTTATTATAATCTTATCTTATTTTTTTAAATAACGAAAAAAGCACTTGATGCATGTACAATTAAGCTAGTCTACAAAGTAATGCAATGAAAACTACAATTAAGCTAGTCTACAAAGTAATGCAATGAAAGCAAAAAAAAAAAAAAAGACTTCCAAGTATATAGTAAAACCAACCTCAACATTAGGGTCAAACATGTTCTTCAGCAACAAACATTCACTGGGAACCCCAATATTTTCAACAGTTTGAGTGGTGCTAGTTGCAGCAAAAGCCAATGCAGGAGTTGGTAAGCCTGCAAGTCCAGGTATGGTCGATTGTATCAAAGGATTTAGTGGAGGAGCGCCTAGAACTGAAGTTGATGGCAAAGGTAGGTGAGGATTATTGACAGGGGGAACAAGAACACCGGCAACACTACAAAGAAGAAATTATAAAATGAAAAAAGAAATAACCATAACAAAAATTTTCACAAAAATTTTGGTTCACACAAATATAATCGCAGCCATGGAATAACAAGAACATTTGCAATGCTAAATCAAAAAAATATATATAAACAAAATATCTCATAACTGCAAAAATTTTCATATATACTTGATTCACTCATGCACATCATCAACATAAGCCATGCTGCACTTGTCATTCCAAATGAAAATGAGAAGTACCTCAAGTGAAAAATCTATTTTCACCATTTTTTTTAAAATAACTTGCCAAGTTATCTTAGATTTACAAGTTTCCTTCCTAATCCTTTCAAATTAATTCTACCAACCTATCTTAGGGATGCAACATCTAAACTCCATTATGCATATTTATCTATTTTCTACTGTCTTATCCTCAATACTCACTACTCCAATCGTACTTTCACTCAACTAGTTTAATTGCAAATGCACCAAGTGCACGAGAATGAAATTATAAAATTTAAACATAAAAAAAAAATTAAACAGAAAAGAAAAATGATATCAATTATCAAAGTTTAAAATCATGTAAGATAGTTAAGAAAACAATTAGTGAAGTATACCTGTAATGAAATTTGAAAATATTCACAACACAATAATTTTCCAATAAAAAATTAATATTTTATGATTAAAATAAATAATTAATTTATGGTGAAATATAAGTAATCAAATAATGTTGTATAAGTATAATAAAATTCTTACTAATAAATGTGAATTTTATTTTAAAACATAACAATACATAGTTCGGTATATTTAAAAATTAAATCAGTGTACATAAACAATACATCTGATTGAATGGACTCGTCATCACATTGCGATCGATTCCTATAAACATTTTCTTGAGTTGTAATTATGAAATTTTTAGTAGAATCATTGAAATATGACAGCAAGTTTTCTGTATTCTAACTTTTTTGCTGCCTTTAAGATAAAATCAATAAAATAGGACAAAAAATATATAAATAAATTAAATTATCGATGCATTAAATGGATAAATCTTTGGTTAAGAATTTAAATGATGATAATTACAAAAGAAGATTAAGATGATGATTTTGAATTTAAATTTTCAAAATTTATAATTCCAAATACATTCGTAATATATTGTTATGTAAAATTAAACATCACTCAAAATAATTGATACATTAAATAGATAAATCTTTGGTTAAGAATTTAAATGATGATAATTACAAAAGTTTAAGATGATGATTTTGAATTTAAATTTTAAAAATTTATAATTCCAAATACATTCGTAATATATTGTTATGTAAAATTAAACTTCACTCAAAATTTTGACTTTTATAGTGATACTAAGTTGTATGCCATATTAATTTAGAAGAAATAAAACTAAAATAAATAGCTTTTATGCTATCTCCTAACATGTGCATGAATATTATTAAACAGAAACCAAGAACCAATTAGATCATTCAAAGCAAAAATATATATAAAAATGATTTTGAAATACATACTCAAATTGTAATTCTGATTCAGGTTATTGCAGAAAGTAAGTAACTATTAAAATTAAGCAACGAAAGTTCACACTACATGTTAGATTAACAAACTATTATTATTATTATTATTATTATTATTATTGTTTAAAGTGAACAATGTACAAATAGATATAGGCATTCATTTCAAGTAAAATATAGAAAGAAGTATAGTGCTAATACAATTACTAAATGATAAACTAGTTAAAAAATAGAAACAAAAGGAATGATGATTACTAAATGATAAACTAGTTAAAAAATAGAAACATTTCAAATATAAGATGATGAATACATTTCAAATCAAGATAAGATAAAGTTGAAACTGAATTCTGACAAAAATAATGCATGACAGAAATAATTATTAATGAAATAAAATTTTAAAGCATTAACAAGATGAATACATTTCAAACGAAGATAAGATAAAGTTGGAACTGTATTCTGACAAAATAAAGCATGATAGAAATAAATATTAATGAGATAAAATTTTAAAGCATTACAACAACAACAAAGCATTAACAAGAAAAAATTAACATAGTAATTAAAATTAAAAAAAAAACGCAAAACAGTAATGTTAAAAGCACAAATTACACTGCATCTATTATTCAAAAACATGAAGTAAAACAAAAATTAATTCAAATTAGGTTGAGAATAAAAATAATAGTAAAAAATGAGAGATAAATTGCTAAAAAGATAAAATAAAATTAATATAAAATAAAAAAAATTAACAATGAAATAAAATTTTTATTTAAAATAAAACACTCAATAAAGTAAAGGAAACAATAATAATAACTCCTTTTGATTAAAAAAATAGATGGCCACTTAATGGCAACACCAAAGAAATATATAAATGGAAGGTGGAAGGAAGAATTGAGGTAAGTTTGAATTATTGTAGCTAATGCCATATTTGTCTTTTTATATTCTCAAGATTATGCCTTCTTGGCTTATAATAAATTAAATATCAGTTCATTATATAATTTTTATTTGTTAGTTAATATAAGAAATAAAAAAAAAATTAATACACCGGAATTTAAAAAGCCATGTATTATAAAGAAATAAATATTAATCATTAAGGAATAATAATATAATTTATTAATTGATATTCATTTATTAGATATTATAGGACTATGATTGAAATCATCAAATAATACTAAAAAGAAAAGTTATGAATCAACATGAGGAAATGATAAGGCAATACTAAAATAATATTAAAATTGTTTTATCATATTCTTATGATTATAGTTCTTTGATTTCCATCTAATTTATAATAATTCATTAATTAATATTTACTTATTAATTAATATGAAAAAATTAAAAAATTAAAAATTCCATTATGCTGAAACTTAAAAATTCCTTGATTATGAAATACTAAATTCTCATTTATTAACTATTAATAACGTAATTCTTTAATTAATATTTTATTATTCAACATCAGATGGTTACTATTGAATCATCAAATCAAACTAAGATGAAAGGCTATGATTCAATATAAAGAGAATCACACTAAGTACAAACCAGACTCTCTATAATCTTGTCCGTCACTAGAGCTAGACCAAACCTATCACGGATATATTCATTTTGAACTTTGTCTCTTAAGTGCAAGCCACTCATCCACCTAAGCATTCTCATCTCAGCAACACTTAACTTTGTTTTATGCTTCTCTTATAATTCAAATCATCAAATCAAATTTAAAAAAAAAATTATGGTTCAATATGGGAAAATCATAAGATACTCCTAAAGTAAAATTAAAATTGTCTTGTCATATTCTCAAAAATATACTTCGAATTCTATTTAACTACTAGTAATTCATTAATTAATATTTAATTGATAATTAATTTGAATTTTAAATAGTAAAAAATTATGATAAGCTAGAATTTAAAAAGCCAATGATTACGAAATACTAAATACTCATATATTAACTAATAATAATATAATTCATTAAATAATGCTTATTTATTAGACATTAGATAACTATCATTGAAATCTAAGATTATATCGTCATATTTTCAGATTTATACCTCTTCAACTTCTATCTAATTCATAATAATTCATTAAATAATATTTAGTTGTTAATTAATCTGATAAATAAAATTGTAAACATGTATGATAAGCTGTAATTTAAAAATTCGTTAATTATGAAATATTAATCCTCATTTATTAATTACTAATAATATTGTTTATTAATTAGTATTTATTTTTTTGAGAAAATTGAGCCCAAAGAACAATATGTCATTCAAATCCGCGACCTTACTGCGAAAAACTAAACTATCAACCATGATATCAAGGTTAAGTGCTCTAATAATTATTCATTCAGTAAACTAATATCTACTTATTAGATATTGCATTACTATAGTTGAAATCATCAAATCAATATAAGTATAGTTAAAGGATATGATTTCACTTCTATAATAGTAGAAGTAATTCATTTGATCACTTGTAAACAATTATTCTTTAAAAAATAATAATATAAAAAAATTATAATTTAATTTAATATAATTAAAAATTAATCCAAATTTAAATTACTTGTACCCACAATTCAACTTCAATGATATTACTTTGGAATATTTACATAAATACAAATCAATTCTTATGTATTCATATATTTAACACCTAAACTACAATTTTTATATATATGCTACTTTCCTAATGAATGTCAAAAGTATATTATAGTTAAAGGATATGATTTCACTTCTATAATAGTAGAAAGTAATTCATTTGATTACTTGTAAACAATTATTTTGTTTTAAAAAACAATAATATAAAAAAATTATCATTTATTTTAATATAATTAAAAATTAATCCAAATTTAAATTACTTGTACCCACAATTCAACTTCAATGATAATATTTTGGAATATTTACATAAATACAACGGAATTCTTATGTATTCATATATTTAACACCTAAACTACAATTTTTATATATATGCTACTTTACTAATGAATGTCAAAGTATATTTAATTTCATAAAGCTTAAGAAAGTGGTAATTTTTATGTGATATGAGAATTTTGGATGATTTAGATGTAAGTAAAATTTTAAAGGGTTAGATATGTAAATACATAACAATTGGTTGGTACATAAATGTAATTTTTCTTATAAACAAATTGAAGTTCTTCTAAACTATAAATTTACCTACAAAATTGATGTCAAACTGAGGCTTGATTGTTTGTAAATATATCAAGTATAAAACAACTGAGAACTTCTAAAATCGTTCAATCAACACTACCATCGGATACCAATGATACAAATTTGTTTACTTAAATGAATTCGTCTCTTTAATTATCAAGCCAAATGAGAACTAGCCCAAATATTAAAAATAAACTAGCTCTTATTTGCCATTGATTTATTTATTAAACAAGCTCAAACACTCATTTACTGAAATGAATTTAGATTTTTTGCACCATAGTCTCTATGAGCCAAATTATTAGGTTTAAGAGAATAATAATCTATAAATAAATTAAGAAAAATGCACACTATAAATAAAT